GTCTCATCTTAAGTCTATCCTGGTTGCTTATGGGATGTGCATTTTCAAACCCATATGATCCATTCAAAGGCAGGTGGCTCCACAGTGTCTTTTCCAAATATGTGCACCAGCATCTTCTGCTGCATTTCCCAAGACTGTGGTGCTAAATGCTTAGTCCTCCAGCTACCAAATCAGTTATTCCCATCAAGTTTCTGCTGCATCCTTGGAAACTTCTATATAGGACCCTTCCACATCTCTTTTCTCAAGTCCCTGGACCAGCTTCTATCCTTGAGAAATTTCCCTCTTAAGTCATCATCTTCTCCATCTCTCCTTCTCCAGAACACCCTGTCAAATTAATGTCCTCCTACATAAGAGCTTATATAAAATTGTTGAAGGGGTACTTTGCCATTTTGATTTGGGGCCAAGAAACATAAAAGCCATTAACAATTCCTTGAGAACAGAAAACCAGAATTCTTAGAATTTGAGAAGCACACTGTTTTTTTCTCCTACTATCTTCTCTGGCAAGGAGACATAAATTTAACAACGTGGTTAAATAGCCTGCCAGAATGTAAATTACCATATATACTGGAGTTTAAGCCGACCCAAATATCAGCCAAGGTTCCTAATTTCACCACAAAAACTGCATTAAAAATGTGCTATAAAAACTTGGCTTATACACGAGTAAATACGGTAAGTAGCAAAGATTAGCTATTCAGCATTGCCTTATCTTTTTGAGCAAATAATCTGAGAGACTAGGCATATGAAAAATGTGGACTGTAGACTCATGAACAACCTGAAATATGCAGATGACACTTAGCTCCTGAGACTGAAGAGAACTTGAAACATTTATTGATGAATATCAAAATTATAGCCTTCAGTATGAATTACACTTCAACATAAAGAAATTAAACTCGGGAGGAGATGAGCCAGTCAGGGTGCAGGGTAGCAACGATGAAACATAACTTTCCTCTAGTTCTTAAATGCTTCCTTCTCCCCACCATCATGATCCCAATTCTACCTTACAAATCTGGCTAGACCAGAGGATGTACATTGTACAGATAGCAACTGGGAACACAGGGAATAGAGGACAGATGACCCCTTCAGGACCAGTGGTGAGAGTGGCGATGCCTGGAGGGTGGAGGGAATGTGGGGTGGAAAAGGGGAACTGATTACAAGAATTTACGTATGGAGAGGAAATGTTTTGAGAATGATGAGGGCAATGAATGTACAAATGTGCTTTACACAATTGATGTATGTATGGATTGTGATAAGAGTTGTATGAGCTCCTAATAAAAGAATCTACGTATAACCTCCTCCCTGGGGGATGGACAACAGAGAAGTGGACAAGGGGAGATGTTGGACAGTGCAACATATATGGATTGTGATAAGAATTGTACGAGCCCCCAATAAAATTACTTTTAAAATAAATAAAATCACTTCTCATATTCAAAAAGAAATTAAACTCCCAACTTGACCAGTAAGGACCATCATGAATAACGGAGAAGAGTGAAGTTGTTGTCACACGTTCAATTTTACTGGATCTACAATTAAGGTCCATGGAAGCACCAACCAAGAAAGTATTGTATTTGGCAAATCTGCTGCAAAATACTCTTTAAAGTGTTATAGAGCAAAGATGTCTATACTTTGAGGACATACAGTGCAAGACAAGGTATTTTCGATTCCCTTATATGCATGCAGAAACTGGACAATGATTAGGAAAGACTGAAGAATAAACAATGCATTTGAATTGTGTAGTTGGTGAAAAATAAATATTCCGTGGACTGCCAGAAGAAAGAGCAAATCTGGAAAAAGTACAACCATAATTCTCTTGCTTCTTAGAAATGAAGATCGCAAGACTTAGTCTCAAGTAATGTGGCCATGTTATCCAGAAAGATTAGAAACTTACTCCCTGGAGAAGGACAGCATGCTTGAAGAAATAGGGATCAACAAAAAAGAGAAAGATCCTGAACCTGAACAAGATGTGTTGACACAGTGGCTGCAACAATGGGCTCACATTAACATCATGAATAATGGAGAATGCCGTACATAGTTGCTATAGTAATGTTCCAGCCTACCCCAATATTCTGGTCTTCACACACACACACACACACACACACACACACAAAGTGTAGGCAATGCCATTAAGGCCCCTATAGCTCACTGCCTTTTTTGTGGCTTACTATGTCAAGCTGTCCTGGTAATTCTCCAGCCTAAGTGTGTAGCCTTCAGATAATTCTACCCTGTTCCAGGATATTACTGTAGACCAGGGGTGTCAAACTGGCGTCCCAAGGGCCACATGCGGCCCCGGAGTTAATTTTTTGTGGCCCACAATGCTCTGAAATAAAATGTAATGAGGGAATTTTATATGGCATTGCCTTGATCTCCCCTAAGCGCTCTTTTCTTCATAACAATTTTTTCTATTTTCATTTTATTTCAGTGGTCTTTAATCTCTCATGGCATATAATATTTTGGAGGTCCCAGCGAGATAGCCACTGTGCCATCTGGAACAGAGCCTTGGACGGCCAGTTGGCCCAGATAGAAGGCGGCTACAGAGGAGGTGCCTCCTGAGATGTTCCAGGCCCCTGGAAAAGGTCACTGACCTGGTGTGGCAGCCGCCCAGCTAAAATCTGTGCTTGGAGTTTACCAGGTGGTTCACCTCCAAAGGTTAAGTTTCTGTTTTCTGTTGGTTTCTGAGACTGGTCTGTTCAGGCTTGTGGAGGGGACTGATCATGGTCTTAATTCTCCCAGGCATACTTCTCAGTGAGACATTGCTTGAGAAGTCTGGTTATCTGGTAAATAGGGTAAATAGTTTAGTGTTTTAGTTTCTTTTTCCTGATGTTCTCATCATGGCTGTTTTGCTTTGTCTTTATCTCCTTGTTTCCGGCCCACTTGTTTTGGTCCTGGCCCTCCGTCTGGCAGTGAGCCCCGCAGAGTAGACTCCTTTTCAAAAACCCTTGTTGGCCTTCTTTTTCATTTTCTGGATCATGCTCTATTTAGCCCTCTACCATCTATAGCTTGATGAATCACTGACCCCTGGATTGTTCTGTCAGTGCATTTTAGCCAAGGCATTCACTGTTTGTTCACGATATTTCGTGGTTCTGCCCCACCTTATGGGACCCAGGCTGCCTGTTCAGTTGGGTAAGTGATCTTTGTTTCCAAGGAACCTTCTTCAACTTCAGCTAATTAGTCTCCTTGTTCACTGTTTTCCTATTCTTTCTCCTTAAAGGAGAGCCAGTACTATGGGAGGAGCCTGTTCTAAAGGCAACCCCCCCACCCCCACAGTATGTGTTAGATAGTTTTAAAACAAGATTTGCCTTGAACTATAAAAAGAAAAAACCACCAAGATTTGCTAATGGTTATGGCATTAAACTTAGCCCTGGAAAGCTCCAGAGCCTTTGTGAGTTACAGTGGCCCACTTTTGGTGTTGGTTGGCCCGACATGGGTACCCATGACCCCAAGCTAGCTCAAGCAGTTTGGAATGTGGTGACAGGAAAGCCTGGGCACCCTGACCAATTCCCTTATATTGATGTGTGGTTAAGTCTCCTCCAGAATCCTCTCCCCTGATTGAGGAAATGTGCCAAACAATCTGGGCTCCATATTATGGTGGCAAATTCTCCTTCAAAACCTGTGTCAGAAGCTAGAGGTTTTTCTCCAATCCCTAGTGTAAACACTCAAAAAGCTACTCAGAAAAAAATTTACCCCCCCGCCCCCCAGGAATCCGACCTTCCACTGCCTTATGTTAGATCCCCACCATTGGCCAACCCCCCCACCCAGCCACCCCCAGTGCGCCACCTGGTCAAGTTTTATCCCCTCTCCATACCTGCAGTGGACCTTCTCACACACCTCAAATCCTGCCCCTGTGGGAAGCACCCCTGAACTAGGGACCCAAGAGACCAATCCTTTTTGGTTGATGTTCCTTTTTCCACTAGCAATCTGTATAGGGAAAAGTCAGCATCCATCATTTTCAGATAAACCTTAGGCTCCAATTAACCTTTTAGAGTCAGTGTTCCAAACCCACTGTTCCACTTGGGATGATTGTCAGCAGTTGTTAATAATATTTTTTATAGCAGAAGAGGCAGCATTCGAAGGAGGCCCCAAAAGCTGTTAACAGCCCCACGGGCAGGGCAGTGGAGGAGAACAGGGCTGAGCTTGAGGCCACATCTCTGCAGGCCAGGCCTCAATGGGACCCAAATACATCAGAAGATATCTGGGCATTAGGCATTTCTTTTTCTTTTAATTTGAATCATTTTATTGGGGGGGGGGGCGCTCATACAGCTCTTATCACAATCCATACATACATCCATTGTATGAAGCATATTTGTACATATGTATACCTCATCATTTTCAAAACATTTTCTTTCTACTTGAGCCCTCGGTATCAGCTCATTTTCCCTCTCCTCCCTCCCTCATGAACTCTTGATAATTTATATTTTTTTCATGTCTTGCACCAACCACTCTCCACCCACTTTTCTGTTGTCTGTGCCCCTGGGAAGGGGATATATGTTGATCATTGTGATCGGTTCCCCCTTTCTCCCCCAACCTTCCCTTTTCCCTCCTGGTATTGCTATTCTCATTATTGGTTCTGAAGGGTTTATCTGTCCTGGATTCCTGGTGTTTCCAGCTCTTAGCTGTACCCACGTACATGATCTGGTCTAGCCGGATTTGTAAGGTAGAATTGGGGTCATGATAGTGGGTGAGGAGGAAGCATTAAAGAACTAGAGGAAAGTTGTAGGTTTCATCAGTGCTACACTGACACCCTGACTGGCTCATCTCTTCCTGGTGACCCTTCTGTAAGAGATATCCAGTTGCCTACAGATGGGCTTTGGGTCTCCACTCCATACTCCCCCGTCATTCACACTGATATGATTTTTTTTGTCCTGGGTCTTTGATGCTTGTACCTGATCCCATTGATAACTCATAATCACACAGGCTGGTGTGCTTCTTCCATGTGGGCTTTGTTGCTAATCAGCTAGATGGCTGCTTGTTTATCTTCAAGCCTTTAAGACCCCAGACGCTATATCTTGAAATAGCCAGGCACCATCAGCTTTCTTTACCACATTTGTTTATGCACCCGTTTTGTCTTCAGTGATCGTGTCGGGAAGGTGAGCATCACAGAATGCCGGGTTATTAGAACAAAGTGTTCTTACAATAAGGCCCAATGTCTGTCTGCTACCTTAATACTTGACATAAATATATGTACATAGATCTATTTCCCTATCATTATATAAAATATATTACATATATACATGTCTGTATTTAGATCTGTATAAATGTCCTTTGCCTCCTAGTTCTTTCCTCTATTTCCTTTTACTTTCCTCTATCCCACTATCATGTTGAGCCTTCATTCGGCTCTCAGGAATTCCTCTTGGCTATATTGCCCTTGATCAAGCCCCACCAGGCATCCTATGCACTCCTTACCATCAATTTTGGATCACTTGTTGTTCCCTTGTCCCTGGGTTTAACACCCCCTTCCTTTCCCCTGACTCCCCCTCTCCCGTGTTCCCTGGAACTGTCAGTTCTGTTGTTTTTTTCCTTCGGATTGTTTATTCTGCCTATCTTATCTAGATAGACATGCTGAGACAATAATAAGCACAAAAACAAGACAGAGCAAAACAAAACAACAAAAAACAAAGACAAAAAAAGAAAAGCCTATAAATTGTTTGTTGACTGTTAGGAGTGTTTTCCAGTCAAGTCTGATGGGGTGCCACGCCCAGGCCCCAAAGTCTATTTTTGCTTTGCTCCCCTTACAGCTCTATTGCACCCTTAGTGGTTCACCCCAGTGTGGTGGTCAGATCAGGCACAATTCCCACACTGTCTCCAGTGTTGTCCCCCATAGAGCTATGGGTCAGTGAGGGATGTTGTGTCTCGTGGTGGGGCCAGCCCTAGGGTCCTCTCTGTGCACTGGCTTCTCTGAGCAGGAATATTGTCTTTGGAGCTAGGATGTGTTCCTCTTTCCTTCCCTCGTTTGCTCCTGTGTGCTCTGATCAGACTCACCCCTCTCCCTGAGCTGTAGCTTCAGTGCTGTCCTCTGAAGTGCATTACTCTGCAGGGCGGGGTCCATGTAGTTGGAATTGGCACCAGCCCTGCCAACCTATTAGTTCCCTGCTTCATGCTGGTATGCTGCATTCACATCTTGGCACACTGGGTTGAAGTCTGGTTCCTCTCGCCCTCTCCTGTGGAGATATAAACAGTACCCTCCCCTTGGATGGATTAGTGCCCTATTCCCCCACTCCCATGTCTTTCCACTGCCCCCTCCTTTTTAGTTGGCTACCATATGTATCCCTGCATTGGGTCCCACCCCTGCCATAGTAACTGGATCTCACTCCAGGACTGTGTGTATATAGTAGCTTTTCCCCTATGCTCCTTTTGCATTTTTAAGCTTCCCTCAGCAGACTCCTGTACTTGCATTGGACATTTCTTACCGGTACTTATTGGTGGGGTTTGGGAGCTGCTAGGCAACCCACTAATTTGTCCAAAGTTAGTACAGTCATTCAGGGACCTCCGAGTTAAATGTCAATTTGAATGTTTATGAAAGTGAGGGGTTGATGATGCCTCCTTGGGGATGTGGCGTTTTATAAGAAACTGGAAAACTCCCTCTATCTCTGCCCCTCTGCCTTCCTGCTTTCTGGGACTCTGCCTGCCTCTACCATGTAGGCCTCATGACCCTGAGAGCAATTGGTGCCTTGCTATGTCTCCTCCACCAGGCTCTGGACCCACCAGTCTGTGATCTTCCTGCTTCCCCTTTCTGTGTCATCAGCCTGAGCTACGTGAGTCTGAAGAGGGTCAGGCTTGAATCAGATTTATGAACTTGAGTTGAACTGGATTGGAATGCATTCTTAAGATTACTTGATATAAAGTCACATCACGGGGTTTGTTTCTTTAGATAACATGGCCTAACAGTCACTTTGAATTGGAATCAACTCAACAGCACTTAACAATAACAATGAACGTATATTCTAAGCATATAAGTTTCCTTATTTAATCCTCAAAAAGCTGTATGTGTTAAGTAATATTCTCCCCATTTTATAGATGAGAAAAGTGAGGCACTGACAGATTAAGTTTTTTGACTGGGGTGTCACAGGTAGGAAATAGAAACTCTAAAATCTGACCTTCTTGCCAATCAAGACATAAAGGGGATACCAGGTTTCACTGTATTGTGACTTGTTTCTTAGAGGCCCTAAGTTCAGGGAGGAGACTGTTAGGCCTGAGGCTGATGTGGGGGATGGGAGTTCTTTGTTCTGTGATACAGTGATGATCTCAAGGTAAACTGCCACTAAGAAAATGGAATGGCTGCTAGAGGGCCTTGTTGGGGTTGAGAGTGCCGTGGGGCTTCTGTGGGGCCAGTTGGCCCAGGCCCTAACCTGCGGATACTGTGGGAACAGCTGCTTCCAGAGTCCTGGGAACCTGATAACCTTATTCCTGTTCATAGTTTGGCAGATCCGGAGATGGTGGTATCTTGGAAGATGGCCCCAGTTTCAGCCCTGCTGTTCTGGGGACAAGCTGCAAAGCAAGGTCGGTGACTTCTGACTTTGATGTTTGACTGAGTGAATGACTACTAATACCACCTGCAGTCAGAAGCATCACTGACATGAATGTGGGCCCAAGTGACTGATTCTAAACCCTAGATGTGACTGGATATGTGCTTATTAATGCAGATTTAAAGAAAGGTGAGTAAGCACTGATCTTTAGTCTCTCATGAGGGGTTGTTGACCTGAGAGGGGGTGCTGACCTTCAAATGTGAACTAGGTATTTGACTTAATACTGAATGAGGATCTGGGTATGTGACCACTGACCATAGGCGTGGGGCTGTGTGTTTACTGACTCTGGATATGGAGCAGGGACTGAGGGCTTCATGAGCCTTGTGTCTAAAACGGCTTCATGCTAAATTCATGCCTCTTTCTCTATTCCTAGGGCCTACCACTTCTGTACCGTGTAGTTTTCCTTGACTGGCTATGGAAGCAGAAGTCAAAAGAGGAAGAGGAAGAAGAGGAGGAAGAGGTGGAAAAGGATGTATCTCTTGGTCCATTGAAGCCATATTCTCCTCCCGAAGACGTTCCTATTGAAGAACAAACCACCATAACCACAGGTCAGCCATCCTGTGGTTCCGAGGCCTTCCCCAAGGCACCAGAGACACCAGAACAAATGCTCACAGAGCCCCTATGCCCTTCCAGGTCCTTCCCTACGTTCCACATCCTGACCAAGCTACCTGCAAGGCATAGAACAGCATCAGGAAAATGCCTGCAGCAAAGAAAAAAACAGCTCTTCTGGGGCCTCCCCACACTGCACAGTGAATTCTTGGAGGCCACCTTCCTAAACGTAGCTGGCTGCACTCCCTTAAAATTGTCTACTGGTCCCATCTTCTTCAACAACTTTGCCTTTCTGCCTAAATCTAATCTGCTGCTTCCCCAGTCCTGCCCCACAACCCAGCTTCCTATCCATCAAGTCCATACAATGGAAGATCTGGAAGGGCTGGGCCCTGATCCAGAGCTACCTCCCCCTCTAGTTCTATCTCCAGCCCTCCATATTCAGCCCTTACCTGCAGGTCACAAAGGAGCCCTATCAAGCACTGAGACACATGCACAGTTGCTTCTAGAACAGAGAGATACCCCTGGGATCTCTAAGGATCAAGCCCTGCACCCTCAGCCTGAACTCCAAAGAACCAGCCTCTCCAAGAACCTTCCTTCATCTGAAGCTTGGCAGGGGGTGCCATGGGATCCCAGCCTTCAACAACTCACTCTAGATTCATGCCTTGCCTCTCCACTGTACCCCTCTAGCCCACTGGAAGTCCTGACTAGGCTTGAGCCCCTGTCAAGAACTATGGAGCACAGTGAGAACTTCAGAGATTCTGAGTCAGCAGTGTTAGTCCCTAGCCCAACTCTAGCCTCCCTGACAGAGCTCCAGGAAGTTAATCCTTTAGGAAACCTGTCTGGATCTACAGCCCTCTGGGAAGCCATGGGGCACAGAGAGAACGCTCAGATTTCCAAACCTCCAACCTCAACCCCTTGCCATCCTCAAGGAACAAGTGCCCTGACCATTCCACCTGAATATGAGACTCAGTGGAGAAGCACAACACATAGAGAGAGCCTAAAAGCTTTTAAGCCCCCAGTGCCAGCCCCCTGCCAATGCCAAGTTTCTTTCTCAAAACGCCATGAAGCCAATTCTGAAGAAAGACTGTCTCCACCTAAGGACTTCTGGAGAACCACCATACAGAGAGAATATCCTCAGAGCTCTGAGTTTCCTGCACCAGTCCTCCACTTTCCCCCAGGCCCCCAGCCAGAGCTTCATAGAGACAGCACCTTGGGAGATCCATCTGGATGTGAGGGCCAGTCAGGAGACAGAGAAAAATCAGGAAATCCCTGGATCTTTGAGCCCACAGACTTGGACCTCAACTCAGGCTCAGTACACTTTCCAAAAATCCATGAAACCAGACTTGCATGTGTCCCATTGGGATCTGAGGCTTCACAGGACATACAGAAAAAAAATGTGGGGGTCTCTGCAGATCCTTTTTCATCTCTCAGCCCTCCCTCATCCTCCCTGCTAGAGTCTGCAGGAATGGGTTCCCAGGGAACCCTGCCTGACTCCAAAGCTTTGTGGGAGAGCATGGGGCAGAGAGAGAACCTCTGGGTCTCCAAGTTTCCAGGCCCTCCACACAGTCCACCTCTAGCCCCGCTTCTCGAGTCCTACAGAAGAAATTCTATGGAAGGCTTGCCAGGATCAGAAGCTTCACGGGACCTTGAGCACTCCAGCAATTCCAGGGCTGTTGAACCTGAATCTCTGGTCCTCAACCCACATCCAGCTCTTGTTCTAGAATCCAAGTCCTTCAGAGTAAACCCCATTGGGGTCCTGTTTGATTCTCAGGCTCTATGTGGGGACATGGAAAGGAGAAAGAACTCCTGGATCTCTGAGCTTCCAGGATGCAGCTTCCCCCAAGGCCTGCATGGAGTCAGTTTCCAGAGAATCCAGTCAGATTCTGGGTTTGTTAGGGTGGTCATGGAGCAGAAAAACTCTTGTACTCCAGGTGGGGGCCTCAGTCCACCCCTAAACTCTGTGTCAATGTCTCACATAAATGAGCCTATTGGAAATCCATGGGACTATATGCCTATGGGGCAAGTAGTGGAGCAGAAAGAAAACTATTGGGCCACTGAGCTTCCAGCCTCAGCCTTCAGCCCCACCTTTGTCCTTCCACCAGAAGGGTACATTGATTGGGAATTTGTGTGGAGAAAAGTACAGCAAAGAGAGGTTCCCCAGGGCTCCAGCCCTCCTGTAGGGGATCCCCTGCAACCAATGCTCTGGCCTTCCACTCTAGGTGAAACTTTGAAGATTAAACCCACTTACTCTGACCTCCTCACGAGAGAGGCAGGCCCAGGTGCTAAGGTAGAGAGTCTCCCAGACCAGGAAGAGGCTGGGCCAAAGATGCCCACGCATCCTCGAGTCCAAACCTGGCAATGGAGTAGAGAATTACTCAGGCTGAAGTACCTGCAGCAGTCCAGAGCCCTTGGCCGAAGCCAATCATTTTGCAGCTCGCCCACTGCTAGCTGTACAATTCCAGTCTCTTGGGAGCTCTTTTCCTGTCCCCCACAGCAGGCTCATCCTCCCAACCCAGGCCCCTACTCTGCAAGGTGCAGTTTCCAAAGGGCCCAGGGCACAGTGCCCCAGTCTCCCACTGTCCAGGCCTCCCGCTGTCACCATCCTCATACAACAAAACAAATGTCTGACAAAGGGGGGAGTGTGAAAAGGGGGATGGTGGCCCAGGCTCAGGAGCCATGTGTTCACATGAAGGCTGGTAACCAGTGCCAAGGCCTAAGAGTGCCCTCTAATCCTAAAGCTTCAGTTTCAGAGGAGAAATTGAGCAAGGCTTCTTCAGCCCTACTTTCAGCCAAAAAGAGAGACTATCCCAAGAAAGCCAGGTTATATCACAGAAGGGATGCAGGGTTGGTGTCATCCACACGCACAGGGAGAATCCCATCTGGCCAAACCCAAAGACCAGTGGGAGTCCTTGGAAACAGACTTTCCCAAAGATCTCAGCCTAAGATGCAGCACTCTCTACACAGCATGCTCCCTCAAATGTCTCTCCCCAAGACTGAGGGTCCCCATAATATGGATAAGGCAAGGATGGAAGTTGGTGGCATACCAAACTCACAGCACTGCAAGCACTATAAGCATCATCTGTCTTCCCCATCTCAGGCTCCACTTGCCAGGGCTCTCCAAGGAGTATTAGCCAAATGTCTGAGCACCCTTAGGCCTCAGCCCACCAAATCCAATCAGCAGAGGGAAGGTTGGTAGTTACTCACACCCAGTATTCCAAGACCTGAAGCCAAACCAGACCATGTGGAGGTGTGGGGTGAGGATGGGAAGCAGAAGAAATTCTAATAAATTAGCTAAACAACAAACCCTACTCTTTTTGTCAGTTTCCTATTAATTTCTCCAGCAGTCACATTCCCAAAGTAGAGCTCAAGATTCGGTTAGTTTAACTTCATTTCTCAGCCCTTCACAGATGACCATTATCTGGAGTCCACATAGACCTACCTACTCTACAGGTTACACATGAAGGTTCAAGGGGCTCCTCAGAGAAAAAATAAGTTTCACTGCCATACAGTGAATTACTTTATATAGCTTTTATAGACATCGTTTTTGTGTGTAAATTCCTACCAAGTGATGGGGTAGAACTATATAAGTGTGAAGTTAGTGGTCCTCCAAAGGGTTAATTTGCTAATAATGTAATAAAGTATATGGTCCCTTTAGGTGGGGCCATGGAAATCAGGCATATTGAACCCTAAAGTGGGAATTGGTCAGTTTTACCATCCTGTTATGTTTAAAATGAACAAAAAGGTGGCATGTCAAAGTTAAAAAAAAAAAAATCAGACATCAAGCAAATTCTGCCTCATAGCAACCCTGTAAGGCAGGATACAACTGCCCCTGTGGGTTTCTTAGACTCTTAAGGGAAAGCTTCCCTCTCTCCCAGAGAGTGACTGTGGTTTTGAATTGCTGACTTTGCCGTTGCAAGTCCAATATGTGACCATGATGCCTCCAGCCATCAAGAAAAAAGAACCAGTAGCATACTTGTCTATTAGACCCGAGACCCCAGCACTGAACCACCTTGATCCAGGGGACAGTGCTGGGACACTGGAGACAGTGCGGCTGTAGGGAAGCAGTGCCAGCAGCACCAAGGACTTCTCCACCCACAGAGCATGAAAGCCGAGTGCCTCTGAGCAGAAGCTTACGGATAAGAGTGGGTTACTTGAGGAGGGAGAAATGTACCAATCTGTGGAGCTAGAGCTGAGCACTTTGAGGCCAAGACCTATGTGCCAAGTGGGTTTAATTGCCCAAGCAAGGCAAGTGTGAAGGAACTACAGGACTAAGCGCTCAAAGAGCTTTTTTGGTTTTTTTTTCAAAGAGCTTTTTAACATTTGCCCAAGTAGGTTACAAGGCTGAGGCCTGGATGTGCCTGCAAACAAGGCTGAGGAAGCTTTCCTAACCAAGAAACTACAACCATAACATTTCTGATCTCCAACTGTAACCAATTATCTCCTTAATAAATCAGATCATCCAATAAAACTTAAAAGTAATTTACAAAATAAATCCCATAATCCTGAGAATGGTCTGTGAGCTCTATGCAGCCATCCATCAAATCATCAAACCCAGCAGAGAAGCAGAGTGCCAGTAGTGCCAAAACTAGCAGAGGCATCAGCCTTGCGCTGGTAAGCTTCATTCTCCTTCCCCCTTACGCAGTCAGGTCAGATGCCACCCCATGTCACATTGCACCTTTACAAGAGCACAACTAGTTTGGTCTAGGCAGTTGTCCTTGGTCGTTACGTTCCCCTGCTCTGTCCGTTTCACGCACAAGTTCTCCACACTTTAATGACCCTTTCTTCTAAATCCTCTGCTCTGCTCTTCCCCTGGATTAGCTTTTCCACTCCGATGGTCCCATCTGTGAAAAGCAAACATCTTTCCATGTATAGTGACCATCTAAGGAACCTTGGTGGTACAACAGTTAAGTGCTCAGTTGCTAACTGATAAGACTGGCAATTTGCAAACACTGATTCTGTGGGAGGAAACCTGGCAATCTTCTCCTGTAGATTGCGTGCGACCTATGGGCCCTATGGGCAAATTCTATGGTCATCTGAGCTTACACAGTTGAATCAATTGGCAGCACCTAATGACAAATGACCACCTGGATTTCTTCTCTGCCTGTGCACATTGAATCCGTAACTTCTTTTGTTAGCTAATGTAATACGTTACCACCCAACACTACAAATTTGGTTAGAAGCAACTAAGTCTCACCAGACTAAAATCCAAGTCTTGGCAGGACAGCTTTCCTTTCTGCAGGGTCTGACTTAGGACTCATTTCTTATCCTTTCATTTCAATAATCAGTCCCAATTCCTTGCCTCGTGGTTCCATCTTCAAAGATAGCAAACTGAAATGTTTAGGTAGCTGAATCTATCAACCTGTTCTTTTATAGCTCCCAAAGCACTTTTATTACTTTGGAGATATTAATACTTGAAACTGTTCATCTACTTTTTGAGCATGGTATGAGGTAGAAATCTAGTTTCCTCAAAATGTTTTACTGATACACTTTAAATAGAACATCTTTAAAAAACCATTCCAGTTAATGCCATATTGCCAAACAGCCATTTTTAGACAACTTTTTGGCTTTAGATGTACAGTAACCTAAACTAGCTCACATTCAACTTGTCCATAACTGAATTTAGTTTCCCCCCAAATCTGGTTTATGTACCCAGTCTATAACAATGAATTGTATTTCAAATCATTATCTACCCATCTTATTTCTCGCCAAAATTGGTTTATTACTTCTAAGCCATAGTCCACATGGCTGCAAGAATATTATTTCACTAGAGGTCATAGAATTCATTCTCCTCAAGTGTCATACTGGAGGTGACTTTAGAAAGTTTGTGGTACCCCCAAAACTACAGCCCCAAGTCACCTTTCAGGCTTAGAATTGAACTCACATTTGTGGCTGGATTTTCAGCCAAATAATAGGTCTACAGGGGACCAATAACACTACTTATTACATACACCTTAGAATACCAGCCATTTAAGATCGAAAGGGTATTTATCCTAGGGCAACGTTCAGAGGGGTCAGGAAAGGAGGAATGGAAACAAGAAACAAGGAAGCAGGATAAGTGCGGACACATGAAGGGGATCGCAATGAATGAGGTGAAGCAAAACGTGTATGCACTGTGGAAAACAAAACTGATCTGCTCTGTAAACCTTTACCTGATCCAGATTTTCCATTAAGTTAAAAAAGGTTAAAATGTATATTTTACAAACGTTTAAAAATCCCTTCATGAAACTGGCATAACATGCAACTTCCAAAAAGACCTAACAGGTGCAACTTTTTATTAGGTATTGGTTTGATCAAAATTATGTGAATGACAAATCTGGATCATTTGAGAAATCTGGGAACATGGCATGGAAATGTACTGAAATGGAAAGTTACAGATTGATAAAAACAAGCTACAAAGCAGTATGGTATCATTTTGATTTTTTTTTTTTAATTCATACCAGTTTATCATTTTTCAAAAGAACTTTGTAATTTTTTTTTTAATTGGGGCTCATACAATTCATCACAATACATAGATCAATTGTGTAAAGCACATCTATACATTTGTTGCCCTCATCATTCCCAAAATTCACTAGCCTCTAATTTTCCTTTTTTCCCCCCCTCCCCTTCCCTTCCTCCTCCCCTCTCCCCTATGCACCCCTAATAGTTTATAAATTATTATTGGGTATCATTTTGATTTTAAAATTACCACATGCAAACACATACTTAAAAGGAAAAAGATCCAGAAGACTTGCACTAAAGTTATTGATGATCTGGAGACAAATGGGTGCACAAGCAAATGTGGTGAAGAAAGCTGATGGTGCCCGGCTACCATAAGATATAGTGCCTGGGGCAGGGGCCCTCAAACTTTTCAAACAGGGGGCCAGCTCTCTGTCCCTCAGACCTGTTGGAGGGCCGGACTATAGTTTTAAAAAAATTATGAACACTGCACGTATCTTGTTTTGAAGTAAAAAAGCAAATGGGGCGGAGACGGGGAAGATGGTCGCCAGATAAGTAGCTCACGCCCAGAGCTCCGAGGAGATCGGTGAGTGGGGCGAGTTGGGGGCGGAGTAGGGGTACCAAATTTGTCCGATTCCCAAGACCACTCAGAGCATCTCTCGGACCCAGAGATGGGCTCCCACCCATAGCCTGGGCTCCACGTGCACCCGCTCTGCCGGCACCTGCGCTGCCCGCCCACCTCAGCACTCCGCGCAAAACCACCAGTCAGGAACCCCCACCCCACCGCAGGGAGCCTGGGGCGTGTGTGTGTGTGTGTGTGTCTGTGTGTTCCAACCAGAAACACACACACCCACCCCCACTGCAGATTTGGGCTCCACCCAGGCACCCCTCGCGGTCCATCAGGCTGGACCCTCCCCCCTTCTCCCCGGAGACGTGAGCTTGATGCCACAGCCAGGCGGAAGGCAGAGCCTGAGGACTTGCCTCTGGGCTCCACGCAAACCGCCAATCAGACCTTCCCACATGCTTAGAGGTCGCAGGCCAGAGGAGAGCACCCAATCACTGCGCTCCTTGCAGATCCGCCAGCCAGCCCCCTCTCTGGGCCTCCCCGCCAACCTGCTCCTCTATACACGCGCACACTGTGTGCGCACGTGGGGACACACAAACACACACACACACACACACACACGCACTCAGTGATCCACATCCTGCTATATCGCTGCTGGCCAGCCAGGCAGAGGACCCAAGGCTGGCACAACTTTCTGCACCTGCGGTGTAAGAACCCAAGTTTGGGGGGCTTTATCACTGCATTCTCCCTTCTCCCTGCTCACTCTGTCCACCGTTTGGGCTCCAAGTGGTGCATTTGCATACCAGTCACGGCCCCCCTCCCACCTGCCTACCTGAAGGAAGTGCCCCTAGCCAGAAACAGATCACCCAATCCCCAGCCCATCCCCTAAATACATTCCCCTGCACTGGGGCAAATACTTTCTATCAGACCACAGCTTGCAAACAACCCCTAAGGAGACCTGAAGGGTGCTGGAGCAAACCATAGGAGAAGGCGAGAAGGAATCCCCAGCAGAACAAAGGTGATGCACAACCCCTCAAGGCAGTTAGCTAAAGGTAGCCAGGTGAAGCACCAATCTCCCAAAGAGAACTCAGGGCTCTGAGACACCCGGGAAAATGGCACCAAGTGCCCACAAATCGAACCAAAAACAGCAAGCTGCTTCCACAGCTTCAACAAGAAAAGAGAAACAAAATCCAATGCCAGAGGACCACTTGGACCTAACAGCAGTCAGAGAAAGGGCAGAGGTTGACCTCCCACAGAAAGAAATCTTCAGAATGCTGCTTGGAGCCATACAGGACATGAGGGAAGCAT